GCAATGGCCTCCAACCTAATAGCAATGGCCTCCAACCTAATAGCAATGGCCTCCAAGCTAATAGCAATGGCCTCCAACCTAATTGCAATGTCCTCCAACCTAATAGCGAAGGCCTCCAATCCAATAGAGATGGTCTCCGACCTACTAGGATGGCCTCCAACCTGCTAGCCAGGATTAAATGAGGATGCACATGTTCGGACTTTTCATAGTACCAAGGCCACAGTTGTACTATGGCATAAGTTGGATGATTCACTTGAGTCCCAAAGTTGCGTTGGTCGACGGTTTGACAGTCCACGTGGCTTTCGAGGATTCGATGTGGTGATAGCGAAGACCTTTGTCTTGAGGCTGCAGGTGGGCCCACGAACCAAAAGTACTTCGATGAGACTTGGAGATGGGATTGGGCGGCCTTTGAGAACTTTAAGCATTTTGACTTGCTGACTGGGTCTGCATCACAGTTCTCAGCTTCAGGAGATCTTTGAGAAATGCATGAATTACCACCTCGAGCTTTGATAAAGAACACGAAGCTGTTTCAGTCCATCCAGGTGCATGGGACCCATCTTAGAGACAAAGGAAGGCGCAGATTCCGCTGTTTCGACGCAGGCTTCACGGCTTCTTCCGAGACACGGTCTCGTCGGTCCTGGTCGATGACCGCGGCGGACGAGGAGAGGATGGAGAGGCCCTCGTTGGGGGCCCGGGACCCGTTTTGGTGAGAGAGGTTGAAGACACATGAGGACACCAGGCTTCAGATAAGGAGGGCCCTTTGGATAGTGTTGCAGGTTTCCAGCTTCAAAGCCGTGAAAGGAGCCACGTTTGATTTACACAGTTACTTCAAAAGCAGATGCGTTTTGGTCTGTAGCTGTCTGGCTCTGCAGTGTGGGTTTTGCCAGCGGTGCTTTTGCGTTGGTTTTTCAAAGTGGGCAGAGATGGTTCACTACCCTGATGAGATCGAGTATTCGGAGAAGTACCAGGATGACAAGTATGAGTACCGCCATGTTCTGCTGAACAAACTGGCAGCAAAGGAGGTGTGGAAATTGACCGATGGCATGAAGCGCTTGCTGCGTGAAGAGGAGTGGCGCGGTGTGGGAGTACAACAGAGTCGTGGATGGGTTCACTACGAATTCCACCGCCCAGAGCCCCACATCTTGCTCTTCAGGCGCGAGATTGGAACTGATCCCGTGACCGGCAAGAAGCCTGCGGCAGCATGATGCGCACTTTTGAAGTGGATACAGTTTTCAGTGCCACTCTCGGTCATGCGAAAGGCAGATTGCCGATTGCAGATTTGTCTTGGAAAGAACCAGAAGAATACTGTAGATAGCAATACACAGTGTTCTAGAAGCTTCATTACTTTGCTTGTCATGCTTGCCCAATGGTGTCAAAAGACTCGACCTTGACCTAGGAGAGTGACACAGTACAGATATTTCCTGTGGGGTATGGTGGGGAAATGCTGAATTAGATTGCGCCCGTAGATTTGTCTACGGATTGCAGCGCACTAGTCACTAGTGGTCACTTTGGCGTGGCGGAAGGCACATCAACAACTCAAGATACAATCACAGTCACATCACCTCAAAGCTGTAGAAAGAGTCCTTGACACTATCCTTGCCATGTGCCGTGATCAGTGCCACATCTCAGACTTACATTAGGCTTAGTTTCCTCTGCAGACTATCAGTGCACAGAGCCAAAATATGCGGGGGCGACATTTCTTCCTCTGCGATCTCATCCTTCTGACCATCCTTTCTTTTAAGCTTTCAGATTCCATGAGCTGAAATTCGTCACATACGCCACCAGCAATTTCTTCTTCCGGAGGTGAAGACCGCAAGGAAGCCCTCACGATGAGACGCGGGCGGCTCCCTCTCAGCAAATTTGCCTCAGGGTTCGGATTCTGCCATGGTGGAGATGGTCATGTTCCACCAGCTTCGAGAAATTCGGACAGCACAAAGATACAAAACACCTGACTCTCAAGCATTTTCCAGATCGTGTGGAAAAAGCTGCGAGCTGCTGTTGCAATGCTATGGTTTTTCAGACGAGTTTTGTTTAATACCAACAGCACCTACTGTACAAACTGTTCCATTGGGCATTAGGCTGACTCGGTAGGTGAAAATGACACGACTAGAGCGAAGAATATCTACTGTATTTCTACCCTACCTTGAATGCCCTAAGAGGTCTCCAAAGTTTAGAAGATTGCCAATCCTCCCCGCTCAGGTCCGTTGAGAAAGGTTTGTGCCTCTTGATCTCAGATCCCACAAACCCAGCCTGCCAGGCGCTTGTGCAGCACCTCGGGACGTCGTGCTGAGCAAGAAAAGATCGCACCAGAAACTCTTGGTGGGATACAAAGGATGCATATTTACAAAGGGATGCGGAGAGACAGTCAATGATATATAGTATGATATAGTCTTAATTTGTGCAAAAAGCAACACAGGCCCCACGGTGGGCAGCTCTCTATTTCCCATATGTTGTCTCTTATGACCGCAGCCAAGAACGCCAAACCGCAGGGCGCCGCGGTAGTGTTTCTCTTTTTAAGTCTGGTCGGTGGGCTGCTGTGGCCCATGACCCTCACATGGCACCTTTACTACTTCCTCCTTTTGAGCCACCATGTGATGGCTGATGTCATGACAGCACTGGCAGGATTGACCACAAATTTGTGCTGTTCAGAAGAACATCTTTAATAAGGCTCAAGTGAGTCAGAGAGTGCTGATTCAAGTTGTGCAGGAGACGATGAATGCTTGGCCAATGGATGCTCCACTGATCTTTTGCAGGTCAACCGAAGTTCAGGCATGCACATTCATTTTTTGTCCATGGAAGGAATGCAGGCAACCGATGGTCGAGAAACGTGTTTTTTGAGAACGAGTTGAGAAAGAGTCAAGAAGTAGAGCATGTACTGTATGCACTGCTCCAGAGCGGAAACCTTTGGGTAGAGCATTGTCAGCAGGCAAGCACGACACCCTACCCACGTCTGGTGCTCCAAATGCCACTGCTCCGTCAAGCAGCTTTGGCAATGCAAGCCACATGGGCAATGCAAGCCATGCATCCAATATGACTGACGGTGACCTGACGTTGAAATCCGGTTGGGTTGGCTGCTGGTACTACGGCTGTCGTGGGTGCGCTCGGGGAGCTTGTCGATCTCACATTGAGCAATATTATTTTGCCAAGAAAGCTCAGAAATGTCATAAGAGTCTGAACCAATCAGGGTTTGGACATGTTTGGACTGTTTGTTGCATGCTTTGACAATTGTCGGTTTGTGGCATGGCCGTCCTGACTTGAGCCACTGAACCCATCCAGGAGCTACCATCCAGAGTTCTACTGCCAATGCAATTCGGGCTGTGTCAGGTATGGGACACTTCGGCCACGATGTTCATCGATTCGGGTTCGTGTTTTCGTTGAACACTCAGTAAAGGCTTGGATTCGCTTAGATCAACATTTGGGTATATAATACGGTAGATTATAGGGATTGCATGGTGCTGACTGGGCCCTCTTCTTGAAGAGTTTGCAACATGCAATCCGTGCGATTTTGGTCACAAGCTTTTGTCAATCAGTTTGAATGTCTTCTTTAGTGCTGCAGTACTATGAACTGCTCATGCCCACTGTGAACGATTTCCCATTTTTCATGCGGACCCGGGGACGCGTATAAGAAGAACAGAATCCACACCTGTGAAACTCAAGTATCAAGCATGCCAAGCTGTCTGACAATTACGACATAACCAGTGAAACCAAGAGGGAAGCCTCCACAGTTGCCACGAGAATCCATAGGCTACCGCCGCTAGAGATCATAGGGTTGCAGTAGAAGGCTGCAGGTCGGAGATCGAGGTCAGAAGGCAGATTTAGCCATCGGGGAATGGGAGGTACGGGTTGGACTTGGAAAACCTTGCATTTTTGGCCTTGTTTGGATGCATTGCCAGTTCTGTGCAGAAAGCACGAGGAATTGCTGTGGAGACTTCAGCCGCAAGTGTTGGTGGATGGCACGTCCCAAGCCGCGCCCACGACCAAAGCCCAGACCGAAGCCCAGACCACGACCACAGCCACAGCCACAACCATCTCCGCCACCCACACCATCATGGTCTCCTTCTCCACCCTCTGGCGGCTTGGTGACGGTGTATCATCAAACCAGCCCACAAGCCTGCCAGCGTCTTGGACGGAAAGGTTGCTGCACAGAAGGGTGAAAACAATGGAAGCTGATGTTGGGTGATTTCCCAAATGAGTTTCCTGAGAACAAAAGGTATCTGAGAGAGTTTGCCTTCAACAAGACCAACCCATCAACTTGCCGTGTCGACCGCGGATTGGTCGCGTTCGGCTTCGTAGCTGAGGGCTATTCTCAAATCCAGCTTCCGTCCTGGTTCGGATGGGCTTTGTGGCGGAGCCATCTACTTTGCAATGTCTCCCGAGGCCGATGTCGGACCGAACACAGATGAGAACGAGACGACACCTTTTATGTATAAAGCTGGTGCCAATCGGTACTTCGATTCTTCGATTCGTGTTTCCAAAGCATATTTTAGTGATGAAAGACGAAATATGACTTCAAACATCTTTTTTCACCCCGATCGAAGCCATTGCGGTGTGGCTTTGCCTTGGAAAGGCGACGAAGACCAAGGCGATCCAAAGTGGCTGCGTCATTGAGGTGTGAGGTTTCAGAACTTCTGTATCGCGAGCCGTTCTTGGGTCGGAAAAACACGAACTGAATGAGCTGAATGAGAAGTGTGAATCTGTAGTAAGTTCAAGCTCCACTCTTTGGAGAAGGAGTGTAAGATCTGCAAGAATACAAGGCTTGAAGCAATCAGACAGGCTGACACAGTGCAAACCGGTGAAAATTGCACAGCGTTTGGAGATTGGGTCGTTGAAGGCGAAAGTCGATGTTGGCCGGGTGAAGTACGAAGGCCCTAGGTGTGGGCACAAATGGAACAAGGCTGGACCTTGATACGAGCTTGCAGCTTTAGTGCATGTGTTTTTACTTTCCAGCCTCTGTCTATCTACGTCCTTTTTATAGTGCTTCAGTGAGTTTGTTTTGATCTGTTTTGCTTACATGTCGATTCCAGTTCACAGGGTGAGCTGAAGTCGGAGGGATATGATTCCATTGAATTTGACCCTGGTGACGGAAAAGAAGTGGTGATTTTCGATAGCTGGAGGGTGCCTGGGATTGTGCAACTAATACGTTTTACCTGGAATTGTGCTACTTTGTTTTTCAAGTCTTTTCGATTCAGAGTTTGTGATGCTGGAAGCAATGGCTAAGGTCAAGAGCATGAAGGAGATTAGATACAATCCGGCATGGAAGCCAGAATATCGAGTCCGATAGCATAGCCGGCGACTTTCTGGCGGAAGCAACCAAATCCTGAAAGCCGAGGTTTAGTCTAGGCCAGGGTGAATCCTCAAAGACCCTGAAAGCCTACAACCATGAAGGACGACTCTTTTGAATATAGACTTGAGATCTTCCCTCACAAAAGAGCCACGCTTCCAAAGTGTTTTGTGCACCTGACAATGCAATGAACCAAAATGAACCAAACACTGGAAACCCATTGTTAAAATTGTCATATTTGGTGAATGACGATATGTTCAGGTGCTAGCAGGAATAGCTTAGCTTCATGAGCAAAGACGAAACTACGTCGATGCTTAGCCCAGCTGCATGCGCTAGTGGTCTGGTTTTCCCGTCCTTGGACCTTGCTTGTGGCTGGTTCCCGGACACTCTCCCACAGTGGTTCTGAAAAGCGTCGCAGATTGAAATCAAAATATTTGAATCCAACTCTTCTTGTTACTAGTAGCGATGCCCTTTGTTCCTGGTAGCTTTTTGTTACTAGTAGTAAGGCCAGGAGCTACTAGTAGCGTCCTTGCTGCTGAAAGATACCATGAATCACACGAGCACTACAAAGGGAAACAATGCGCTCTGCAGCCACGGCTCAAGCTGCATGCTTACGAGCCAGCGACTCACTTTGGCGAGGAGAAGCCGCTCGCTTCAAGAACCCACTGGGCCGATTGGGAGAATCCGGAAGAATCCGACTGGTTCAAGTTCAATCGAATCTTGATCGCTCCTGCTGATCCTTCAAGTCTTGTCAACCTGGCACTACGCAAGCGCAAGCTTGATTCAGAAAACTTCCACTTTTCTGGACTGAGAGTTCAGACTCACATGCTGCTAGGCCATGCTGCTAGGCCGTGCAGCGATCAATGGTGCCCCTGCCCGTGCCGCAATGGTGCGCCACTGTGGGTTGCTGCCTTAGCCCGCCTATGAACCGTTGAGAATGCCGGCTAAAATCAAAGGACAGATCAGACAGATGCTGTCGGCACTGTTGCACGGTTCATCCACCAGCAACAGCACCAGAAAGCAAAGAAGCAGATCAAGCCACGACAGCCTCACATCCCATGTATCGCATTAGCTGAAGCTTACAGAGAGCTTGTCGTGGGTGCTGGAGCTCGGAAGGAAACCTGGCGGCTGATGATAGTTGGGGACAGGAGGACTGACAACTGTTTTCAAAAAAGGCTGACAAGTACCGGGCTGGTGTGTAGTTGGCAAGATGGTGTGGAAGACATTGCAAGCAACTACAACGCAGGTACAACAGTTGTCGAAGCTGGTTCAATTGGTTGGGAACAACATTGAACTTGAACATTGGCATGAGTTGAGTTGGTTGCGCAACAAGTTGAGCGTTGTGTTGAGTTGTGACACCTATGAGCGTGGGCTCTGGGGATGGTTGTTGACACAACTTGTGCAGTTGAGCGGCGATCCAGATGTTGAAGCGGCTTCTTGGCCTGAGAAGGGAACAGTGCTGGGAATCGTGAATGAAATACCCGCTTCCCGAAACTGGAAGAAGACGGAAGCTCGCAAGCTAGATCAACTCAAATTATCGGTCCTATGCGGAATCGCAGGCAGCTGCGGACGGGCTCTTTCAGGGGCTGGGCGGGAGCTTTGTTTTCTGGAACCGTGACAGAAGCAAGCTGGGAGAAGATGGTGCAATCAGCCATTGGATACATCGCCAAGCAGAGGATGGACGGAACTGTCAAGGGACATGATCTTCGCAGGAGTCATGTGAACGAGCGCATTGAGTTCGAGGAGCGGCTAGTTCTGCCAAGAATGAAAGATGCTCTTGAGGACGTGCTCCGACTGCTGGAGATCAAAGAAGGCCACGAGCAAGTGAAGTTCATGAGTTTGGACTTTGCAGACGCCTTCAAGCATCTACAGGTGAGACCGAACGAGATGAGGTTCTTGTCAGGCACCGCATTGGGGTTATTTTGTGTACCGGACAGTGCTGTTTAGCGTCCGAACAGGCCGGTTGGTTTGGGGGCCTGTATGGCTGGATCGGGAGGGCAGCTCAAGCAAGTTTCATTCAGATCGATGTCGGTTGCAGATCTTGGTGGATGATCCCTTGTTAGTGGCGAGAGGTTCAACAGAACAGATCTCAAACGTGTTCAGTACAGTCTTGATGTGGTGGATGGCCGTAGGACTGAAGATAGCATGGCGCAAAGGAACTATTGGCTATGAAGCTGAGTGGATAGGTGCAAAGATTACAGTTGACAATTCAGCATTGGCAGTTACAGTTGCAGTCACTCCTGCAAAGGTGGAGGAGTGGCGGCTGCTAGCGAAGGTGTTGGACACGAGGCCACTGGTGTCGTTGAAACTTCTACAAAAGTTTGTTGGAAACATGTCCTGGGCATCAGGTTTCGTGCCACAGCATGCTGAGCCACGGACTCCAAAGGACAATCAAGGCCGACGTTGTTGCCGACTTGATTTTTGGGTCGATGCCTCCCCATGGCAAGGAGGAGCAGTGCGCTTGAAAGGTGGGAAAGCAGTGGAGACCTATGCGCTGGTCTGGTCGGCTGAAGACGATGATGGTTGGAAGCTCGAATTGGGGAAGCCTACATGATGTTGAGGGCACTGTGGACATGGCTAGTTCCGGGTGAGCAGGGCTACATTCGAACCCGGGGTGACGCACAAGGAGTGCTGGCTGCAATTGCTTTTGAACAGAGTCACAAAAGAAGTGGTCACGCACGTGCCATGAGCTTTTCTTTGACAGAAGCTCTTCACCTATGGAGCGAGGATAATGGTTGGGCCCAGAGGAGAGATGCCTCCAGAGCTATCGCAGCAGCCGAGGGTGGAGAATTGGCGTGCGCCGCGCTCGCGAGTCGTTTCGGTCACGCGGTCACGCGCGACGCCGTGCTGGCGAGATAGAGGATAAAGCCCGATTCAGTTGCTTTGCTGTGCACTTCGTGGCGGTGTTTCGTTTGCTCCGTTTTCATGTGGGTGCAGTTTTGTGTCCTTTCATTCCCCAGCCCCCTTTTGGACATGAACCGGTTTGCAGAAGAGCCGAATATGGAAGGATCCATCAAGCAGTGGCCGGGCTGCAAACACGGCCACCCCCCACACCTGTGGGAAGATCGAACACGCCGCTGCTTCGATGTGGAATGTCTTCAAAGAGTTGAGGTGCAAGCGGCAGTCTCGTGCGATCACTGCGACGCCAGACCCTTTCGCGTGGAGCGCAAGAACACGCATCACATATGTTGGCCCACCCTCCCCTTCCTGTAAGGGCGGGGCGATCAGAAGAGCTCAGACGAAGAACGTGAAGAGGAGGCTAACTCGTCAAAGAGGAGACTGAACTCCTTGACAGAAAAGAAACAGAGACTTTAGGTGTGGTGGAATCCCCCATGAAGATGCCAAAGGTCTTCCACCAAGAAGTGTTCCTGCAAAAGGGGATGTCCTCGAGAAGGAAGCTGAAAAGGAAGGTGAGCCATCCAGGGTGCTTGACGTGAGCCAGCAAAGCAGCCAGCAGAGCGTTCCGAAAGATTGAACCACAGCTCGACCATACACGCCGGGTCTGCAGCCGACTGGAAACGGCTCAAGATGCAGAACTGTTCAAACGGGCAATGGAGGAGGGGCAAACCGGCAAGTACTCGGCCTCAAAACAGGCACTCCAGTTCAAACCTTCAAACGCCACCGCGCACCACGGTGCCCCGCGATTCACAGTATACCCGTGGAGGATTTGATGATATTATAACATATCCGTGGGAACCCTGTATGCATCAGCCCTGGGCTGAGCCACAAACCCAGCTTGCCGAGTGTTGACGGTGTCGCCTTTGTGGCCTTTGTGCCTTTAGGCAGTGGACTTAGGTTGTTCCCTATATGCGCCATCAAATCTCATTGAAACCAGCTGCAGAAACGAGCTTGCGCGAAACTTATTATCAAAGACGCCGTCAGGTCGTGCTGCAGAGGAATAGGCGCAGTTAAGGCGTGCACTTCCTTAGGAAAATGACCCAGCTGAGGGAGGTGGAAGCAGTTCCGGATGGCCCGTCGCGACCGATGGACACGGTCATTTTGTTTTCCTTGTTCGCCTGTCGCGAAATGGAAGCTGCTGTGCGAAAAGTCAAACACCTCACAGTGGAGTCTGCAGAGAGAGGATGTGGTATAGTTGAGCTTTAAAACAGATACCAGACACCAGAGGAGCTGGCGTGCTGCGCCGGCAGGGCTGTCTGCGTGACAGCTTTGCCCTGTGGCGGCAGCAAGGCGTCTCCTGCAGACGGCTCAAGAAGCAGGTCATATGGTGAAAGCCCTCTACTTGTCACTGCTGCCCCTCGTGCAGCGCCCCCCAAGAGCAGAATCGTTCCGAAGAGTAGCCACGGCCATGGGGATCGATGAAGACACCTGCCAGTCGATCACAGGCCACAGCCACGCGATGAGACCATCAAATGTGCAGTTCCTCGCACGGCTGGGAGTGGAATTTTCTGGATACACATTTTTGTCGATGGGGAAGTGAAACCATCTCGAGGTACCTTCGAGCCAAGTTCCTGCCGCTGAAGGACAATGAGGAGCTGAAGGCCAAGGTCGAGAAGACCAAGAGTGCGGAGCTGCTAACGCAGGCTGAAGGCAAGAAGAATGAAATCGAGCTGGCGCTTGAAGAGTTGAAGTTAAGGTCCATTCAGATGAATGAGAAATGGGCCGAAGGAAGTTTGTAAAGATGTGAGCTGTCAAAGACGCAATTGCGGTTGATGAAGTGCCCAAACCGACACTTCATAGCGGCTTTGTGAGGAGCTGGATGTCTGAAGTTGTTTGAGCAATATGCCCAGAACCTGTAAGACCGAGACTCAGGCCAGGACGGCGTAGTGGGGGGTGAGGGGAAGAAAGTCTTCCACGCCCGGGTGGAGACCGGCAATGTGGCCGGGTGCAGCTGAAAAGGCGGGACGCAACACACCATGTAAAACAGGGCTGAGGCGGGTGGGTTAATTGGCATTTTATGTGTTGTGAGAACCTTTGTTGTTACTAGGAGCAAAGACGCTACTAGGGGCTCATGGCCGTGCTACTAGAAGCAAAGCGCATCGCTTCCTTTGTCCTTTTACCGCCCAGCTTTTACAAACTCCACTTCTCCGCGTCCGCTGCAGTGACGGCTCAAAAAGCGCTGAGAACGCCATCCACGGCGGTCGAGCGTTGCTCCTTCAAGGCTCGACTGGCTCGACTTGACTTTTCGATGATCGAAGATGAGCGTGAAATGTTCTTATTCAGTGATTTATTGTGTAGCTTTGACATGTCACGCATACACGGAAACGTATTCTGAAATTCTACATGTGCATTGGAAAGCTGTTGCTCCTTCTGTTTTTCACCGACTTTGCTTGACTTTGCTTAACCTTTATCGTTCGTTGTTGCGTTTGGTTTTTAATGTAACACTGACAAAGTATAGGCTAGCATGTCACGACTCTCAACATGCTGTTGGAGCAAAACCAGGCAAAACCATACTCCACATGGGATCAGCGGAGGGGGGATGGCCGTTAGGCCATGCTGCTTGGCCGCGCGGTGATCACCCGCGCTCGCAGCGCTATGGTGCGCCACTGCGGGTTCTAGTCTTAGAGTCTTAGCCTTTGACGTTTTGTGGTCTTGGAACAAACATCAAGGCCTTCGCACCTGCTCATCAATTCTGCTTACTGCAGAACAAAACAAACACACAAGTGTTTGCTGTTTTGTTCATTCAAATTCAGCATGCCAAGGACTTCTTTGCGTGTGCCGAAGGCGCCCCCAGGCACTGGAACGGACATCTTCCATCCGCAGGTGATGCTGCCGCTTCTCGGACGAAGAACGTTGACAGAAAAGCGGGTTTAGCTAAGCGTTGGATAGGTTTGCTTAGTGGACTGAATGATGCTGACTAAAGCTCTGCCAAACTCAGGAAGTATTCCCTCACAAACCAGAAGTGGTTTTTCCTCTTCTTCATCTGCAATTTGGGTGCTTATTCAGGACTGTTGTGCACCTGTACTGCTGTAGGACATTCCAACGCCCCTTGACTTGGAGGGCCAAAGAAGACATCTCAATCCATAACCATTGTGAAATCTGATGAAGAGTCACATGACAGACAGGACATGCATAATAGTTTAGTGAGGAGATGCGGTGTCCTGTCGTCGATCCGGAACTGGACAGGACACTACTTCTACCTGCATCTCCTCATGCGCGCGAATCCGCCAGCATGCCCAGGGCGTTGGTCATGCTTGGTCACGCAAGTCCTTGGAGTGATGAGTTTCCATTCGATGTTCACCAGTTGGATTCTGTGATTGGTCGGTTGTAATCCGAAGCATGAATGAGCACCTCGACTGCCAAGTCCCAATCCGCCTCGTGATCCTGATCAGGCCTGGGATTTTTGTGATTCAGGATGCTGTCGCATGCGACACAAACATGTGAACAACCGCCAAAACGTGCGATGGCCAATTTAGTAAAGAGCGGCCGGGATTTTCAGGGATGTGGCTAAAACTTGCAAAAGGGATAGACCCCCGTCAACAGTGACGGCGATAACCATGTCGCCGCAGTTTTTGCTAGGTTGAAAGTGTGGCTAGGGCCTGAAAAAGCGATAAGCCCCTGTCAAAAGCGGCAACCTTGTTGAATCATATCCCTTCGTGGAGCCGGTGGCTGGAAACGAGAAAAGTCTATTGTGGGGGGGGGCCCTTCGTTACCGAACGTTTTGGCAGACGCGGACATGTTTTTTGTTATTTTTGCAGGACACTCAGGACACAAGATTAGAAAGGTTCGTCAATCTGTTTCTTGAGATTTTGAGCAGAAGGTGCAATGCAACCCAGGACTCAGCACCCAGACCTGTCTGGTGCAGGTGCGACCTGAGAAGCATATGCACGCCGTTGATGATGACTAAGGTGGGCACTCTTGATTTGGGTTACACACATTACAATCGTCTTCATGTGCTATCCATTTTGGTCTTCAGCTGAGCTTTTCTCAGGCGTTTTGGCCTTCTGGTTAAGACCATGCCACTGAGGGTGCTGGCAGAAGTCCTTGCTTTCGTTTTTGAACATAACAATGTATGCAGCTCAAAGTGGGATCTTGACATTTGCTAGGGTTGAAGGTGTTCCTTACATGTTCAAATACAATCATGAATACAATCATGTCATTTCAATGATGGCACTTTAGGAGTCCTTAGCAAGCTTCAGGCCGATCATTACCCGACCAGTTCATACTGTCTTCGGAAAACAAGCTGTGGCGGCCACTGTGCTGTTCTGAAGCGCCATGCCACCATTGACTGGCATGTCCACTGCCACATTGACTGGCATGAGGAGAGGCCCATTGAAGCTTTGGGTTTTGTGAGCTCTCTCCGCAACTCAGCTGACCAAGGGCTGCTTGCCAAAGGCAATAGGTCCATGTGCAGCAGCTCCAACAAAATGTCTCGGTTGTGCCTGCAGACTGCAACAGGAGCCCCTGTACTTATCCTTTCCCAATATATACTCCCTATCTGACCACTGGTTGCTGTAATTTGTCCTCCCATGAGGTGTCGCACGAAGACAGGTCATTCTTTTCCAGAGCTACTGAGCTACCATTCTTCGCCATGGCGCGGACACAGTCCAAAGGGGAAGTGCTGCTGCAAAAGGCTGGTAAGGGCTGCAAATGCAATTTTTCACGTCAGCTTGATTCAAAGTTTATCTCTATAGTTTGAGTCAAGTCAAGTTACACTTCAAATCGGACACCAGTTCATGGGCTCCATGAATCTTCTCATTTTCCACAGCACGAAGCTTTCTCCAGCCCTGTGACTTTTTAACTTACATGACCCACATCGTTGCCAGAGCCAGGTCGATTGTAGCTGTTCCATGCTGTTCTTTGGGGCCGCCAAATAGCTGGATCGACTGATCGGTCTTTGGGTCACAGGTTGGTCGCCCGCGGAAGGCCTCGGGCATCAGGTGCTGCAAGAAAAAGATGCGTCGATCGTTCTGTCAGCGTTCTTGTTTTGGGAACGAAGTCGTTTTGAGCTTTTGGGGATGGCAAAACAGCGTGGGAAACACATGTTCGAGGCCCAGAATCGGCTGCCCATTTCGTTGAGGATTCTACAAGCTTTGTGTGTTTTGACCAGGATTCGGGTCCGCTGCAGTGCCTTCGGGTCTGGCGAGGCCTGCGGAGGTGAACCCGGAGATCATGCCGAGCCTCCCGCCGTTGAGGTGGGCGCCGAGTCGGAGAGTGGGACGGTCGGACCGGCGCCGTGGCAACTGAGGTCGTTTGAGGCTTCGAAGTGTTTGCCCGGACTCTACGAGGTCAGCGAATGCTGGATGTGTTTGCAACTCTTTTTTGCATTGCTATTCAGTGTGATTGGAATGTGTTTTCAAACCTTCAAAGCGGCTAGAATGACCTCAGAGCATCCAATGCTTTCAAGACAGCAACACACTCCATGCGTGCTTCATTGGTACCTCATGTGTGCCTCATGCTTGCAGGTCACCACTGGAGTTGCACCTGTGAAGGGTATGCCTCACATCTCTTCTCAAGGCACCAATATGATCCAATATGAGTTTTTGTCCAAAAAGAGCTCTCATGCATGTAGAAAATCCCATAGGCTCTACCAGCACCATGTTATACGAAGACGTTAATTTTTTACGGAGGGGTATTTATTTTTGGATTTTTTTTTGTTTCTTTTTTGGAATTTTTGTTGTTTTTCGTGGCTTCTGGCTTCTGGCTTCTGTGGCTTCTGGCTTTTGTGGCTTTTGGCTTCTGTGGCTTCTGTATCTGTCTATACCTATCTATTTATCTATCTTTCTGTCTTTCTTTCTTTTGGCAGCTGTTCTCTTTTCTCTTTTTGTATTTGCTTTTCCTGTTGTTTTCGTTGCAGAGACGAAACAAGCAAGCAAGCAAGCAAGCAAGCAAGCAAGCACGAGCTGCTCACCTTTGGATCTGGTGTGCTGCTGGGGGGGGG